GTAATAGTCTAAGCAGGGTAAGGTTACGGATCTCAGCTTTCATTTCTTCACATAACTGGGGGGGAAGAGGTGGAGGCCTCCCAAGCATAATTTCATACGGGGTAAAGCCTTCTACATAGGGGGTACACTGAACTCCTAGGAGAGCTAAGGGGAGAAGCAGTACCCAGACTTCGCCTGTTTCTAGTGAGCTTGCTCAGGGTCTCTTTTAGGGTCCGATTCATTCGCTCAACCTGCCCAGAACTCTGAGGCCAGTAGGCACAATGTAATTTCTCTTTGACTTTTAAAGTCTTTGCCAAATCCTGTGAGACCTTTGCAACAAAAGCAGGCTCATTGTCTGACCCGATGGTCATAGGTAACCTGGATCTAGGGATCAAATCCTGAAGCAGTCTTTTGGTAACTACTAGAGCTGTCTCAGACCATCCTGAAAAGGTGTCTGTGAGTACCAGTAAGTACTTATACCCAGAGGGGGGTCTTATCTCAGTGAAATCTCCTCCCCAATGTTCCCCTGGGATTTCCCCTCTCTTCCTAAAACCCACGATCCCTCTACCTGTTTGTTTAGCATCTACCCAAGCACAAGCACAGCACCTGGAAGCGATGCTATTAGCGAAGGTGTTTCAGTTTGGAGTATAATACCTATTTCTGAGGAGTGTCGGGAGCTTTTTTTTTTGGTTTTGTTTTGTTTTTGAGAGGTTTTCGCTATAGGGCGCATGCGCTTGCCAGACAGACAGAGAGAGACATAGAAGACAGAAAGCGAGAAATCACCCCCCAGGGGTGATGGTCACGCCACAATCCCTTCTCCTCCATTCTCCTCTCGGGATCTTGGGCACGCACGCACACACGCCAGGCGTGAGTTTAAGCCACCGGGTCCGGGACGCGAACCGCGGTCAACTACGTGGGAGTCCAGCGACATAGCCATTACGCTAACTGCTGGTTCCCCAAGTGTCGTGAGTTTTCACTTGCCCAGATGAGTCGTCTGGTGAAGCTGGTCTACTATTACCCTTCCTAGGGCCTCTGGGATCAGCAGCCTCCCAGCAGGCATTTTCAGCCAGCCAGATGGCTCCCGGTAGCTTGTTCTGCAAACTTTTCTTCTGCGTTTGTATAAGTAGGAGGGGCTGGAAGGCCTGGGTTTGGCAGAGTGGTGAGCACATGGAGTGGCCCCACTGGTTTAAAAGTGGCTTGATCGACAGCCTGGTTTTTCCGTGTCTCAAAAGAGTCCCCTTTCTGGTGTCCTTCACAATGCACAACGGCTACAGCTCTGGGTACCCATAAGGCCTCTAACTATGCCAGGACCTTTTTTTAATTTTTATTTTTAATGTCTTTTTCTGCCGAGGTCACCCCGTGCACGCCCCGTGCACGCGGACGGTGGCAAATGCATCTCTGTTGTCCGTGTAGCCACAGCCCTATCTTTTGCCCACCTTAAGGTTGAATTAGAGCAATGAGCTCTGGTTTTTGAGCAGATGTCCCTTGATTTAAAGGCTGTGCCCATACAGTAAATTCACTGGGGACCACAGCCGCCCCTGGGCACCTGCTTCTATTTTGTATGAAACTGCTCTGGTCAGTAAACAGGATGACCCCGGCTGAGGGAAGTGGAGTGGCCTTCAAACCCGGTCAAGTGGACTGGATTACATCACGTCAAAACAGTTGTGAAAAGGCTCTTTGGGGTCATCATCCAGGCAGTAAGGTGGCTGGATTCAGGGCGGCTGACTTCTGAAACCTAAGCCAGGGCTGGTCACGTAAAAGGGCTTGGTATTGAGTTACTCGAGCGTTGGACATCCATTTTTCTGGTGTGGTCCGGAGGAGGGCCTCCAGCACGTGGGGTGCAGTGAGGGTCAACTCCTGCCCCAAGGTGAATTTGTCAGCCTCTTTTGCTAGCAGGGCTGTAGCAGCTATCGCCCGGAGGCAAGCTGGCCATCCCTCCGCTACTGAGTGGAGTCTCTTGGACATGTAGGCTACCGGCCGTTTCCAAGGCCCCAGATTCTGGACTAGAACTCCTTTGGCTATTCCCCTTCGTTCATCAATAAAGAGGTGGAAAGCTTTGGTGAGGCCGGGGAGAGCCAGAGCTGGTGCTGACACCAGGGCTTGTTCTACCTCCTCGAAAGCATTTGTTCGTGTTCAGTCCAGATCAAAGGTTGGGAGCCCCCGGTCAGTGTGCAGAGGGGCTAGTCTTGAATGAGCTCCAGTCCCGTCATTCTTCTCAATTTAAAACTTTCTCTTTTTCTGTGTCTTCTTTCTTCACAGTTTTGACATTGGTCCTTAGCCAGCTTGGGTCTCTTTTTGTGTGTTTTCTCTTTCTTGTTAACTTCTCTCATAGTAGCTACTACGACCTGAGCGATTGTCTTAACCTGTCTGGGCAACCTCTAGTAGCTGTGACCGAGTCATGCCCTCACAGCCTTCTGTCTGCCGGAGCTTTCTTCTGATGTCTGCAGCAGCCTGGACACAAAGGCCACATGAACTGCCATCTATCCTCTTGAGCATCGGGCTCTGTGGGGAGTATTCTCGATAAGCCTCACCTAAGCCGTCTAAGAAGGCTGCGGGACTCCTGCGGGCCTTGCGTTATCCCCACTGCCTTCGACAAATGAGTGGGTTTGGGGGCCGCTGCCTTAACCCCAGCCAATAAATTACTGCGCAGTGTGGTCAATGCCTCTCTGCCAGCACTAGTGTTTGGATCCTAATTAGGGCGGGTGGCAGGAAAACGTCTACTTAGCCTGCCCTGGTCGCCTTCTCAAGTGCCTCCCCGTCTTCTCTCTATCCTTTCTCTCTCAGCAGGGAAGAGTAGCTCACAGCTGCTGCCAATCATCCCCACTTGGCTGGTGCGTGGAAGACCAACTCGGGCAAGTCCATGAGAGCCTGAGGCTTCTCAGAGAAGGGCGGGTTCTGAGCCCTCCAATTACACAGGTCACTGGTAGAAAAGGGGACATATACAAGACACGGGTGACCTCCAGGGTCTCCATCTGTCGGAGGTGCCTCCCTGAAGGGTAACAGGGCCTCTGAGGAATCAGGGCTTCGGTCCCTCCTTCCCTCCCTAGACCAAGGAGGCAGGGGTGCCGAAGAGTCAGGACTCCGATCCCTCCTCATCTCCCCAGACCTGCTCCGGGTACAGGGTGGAGAGAGAGGGACCAAGATGGCCGCCACCTGTGGCTGCTGCTCATTTCCCGAGTTGCCGTCTATGTGGGTTATGGGGAGGCAGGTCTGACTCTGGATCTGACTGTAAGACAGCAGGATTTTGTTCTTTTTGAGGCCTTCCTGATGGGCTGATTACAAGGACAGGATTCTCAGTTTTTAAGGCACTGCTTCTTAACCAGGATAGGGGTCTTTGAACTAAAGTCAACCATCGTCAATATACGGGTATTGGTCGGGATGGCCTGGTCCTCCTGCCGCACCTGTGACAACTTTCCAAACGGCTTGTACCTTTCCAGTACCAAAGGACCCTGTGTCAGGCCATCCCACTCTGAAAGCGGGCCGATCAATTTCACATAAGGTTCATGGCCTTTGTTTTGAGAGCTTGTAGCCATAATCACAACTTTCTACAAAGGCCTCATCAATGTGATGTAACATACAGCTCAGGGGAGTTTTGTTTTGTTTTTTTTGGACAGGTTTTTGCTATAGGGCGCGTGCGCTCACCAGAAAGAGAGACATAGAGACAGAAAGCGAGATGGGGGATGGCCATGCTGAAATCCCTTCTCCTCCATTCTCCTCTTGGGATCTTGGGCATGCATGCACACCCCCGGTGTGAGTTTAAGCTGCCGGGTCCAGGACGCAAACTGTGGTCGACTACATGGAAGTCTAGCGACATAGCCATTACGCTAACTGCTGGTCCCAGCTCAGGGGAGTTTTGAGAGAGCTATTTTTCCTTCTCATATTTTTTTTTTAACTTATCTAGGTGTCTGTGTCCGAGTCAACTGTAAAAACTGACACTCCTGCTTCCAATAATCCCCCTTCTTGCAGCAAGGTGGCATTGGGCGACACTGTCAATAACACTGGTAACGTAAGAATGGCCAGTTCTCAAAGGCTCTACTCTCCCAGCTCCCCCGCTGCAGAACTGGAAGAGCAAGACCAGCTAGGCTCAAGGGCTGAAGGAATCCTGACTTCTTCTGGTATTTGGAACTGCCTGCTTCAGGGAGCCGGCAATGTGCCAGAGGGCTGTAGTTCCAGGAAATTCTCAGAAGCAAGAACACACTGGTGGACTCGAACGGAGGCCTGAAAATGCACAAACCGGGCTGACACTCTCTACTGAACGTAAGGTTACTAGGAGGGGATGAGTGGGTGTGCTAGCGAATTCCTCTTTACAATGTCCTGACTTTTTTGTTTGTTTCTAGAGAGGTTTTTGCTATAGGGCACGTGCGCTCGCCAGACAGAGAGAGACAGAGACAGAAAGCGAGAAATCACCCCCCAGGGGGAATGGCCATGCCGCAATCCCTTCTCCTCCATTCTCCTCTCGGGATCTTGGGCACGCATGCACACGCGCCCGGCGTGAGTTTAAGCCACCAGGTCCAGGACGCGAACTGTGGTCGACTACATGGGAGTCCAGCGACATAGCCATTACACCAACTGCTGGTCCCTGTCCTGACTTTTTAATAACAGTGGTTGGGGAGCTTGGAAGGTGAAAAAGGAAATGAGTCAGGATCAATCCTCTCTGTAATCCAGTGAGGAATCTAACGGGCCCGGGCATGATGGGGTGGGGTGGGGTGGGGTGTGGGGGTAGTGACAGCAGTGGCAACTCCGGACGCGAACTGGGCCCTTCCTGTCGATTGCCCCAGCTGCGGCGGGCGTCATGGCCATACCTGGGGAGCTCGGAGGGCACCAGTGTGCCCCGACAGGGTGTTTGGAGCCAGGGTGGCGGCTGTCCACCCATCGTCTGTCCATCTCTCCCCTCCCCCTGTCCCTCAGCAGTGGACCGCGCCGGTCCCATCCCCCCTACACACACACACACACACGCCCCACACCTCACACCCACAGCCCCTATACCCCCACCCGGGCTGTGGTTCCACGTGGCACCTCACCTCAGAGGGTGCCTAGCAGCCTAGAACTGCTGCAGACCAGGAGAATCCGACGGTTTATCTCCCCAAGTACCTCGGTCACAGAGGAGACACTCTGAGGGTTGTGGTAAAAGGTGGGCAGAAGCCGCAGGGTCTCTTCTCCATAATCTTCTCTGCAACCCTTTCAAGAAAGAATGGGGGGAACCAGCAGTTAGCGTAATGGCTATGTCGCTGGACTCCCACGTAGTCAACTGCGGTTCGTGTCCCGGACCCGGTGGCTTAAAACTCACCCCCGGCGCCGGTGTGT